CGAGACGTGATGTAGTCCATGGCGATGTTCTTTGCACCTTGGCTCCCTACTTTATTCGGGACCGGGCGTGGCGGGGTGGAGGCGCCTGCTGACGTTGGCGTTCTTCCACGCTCCCTGGCGTAACCTTCGGCTGCTTTCCTCCGGCGATACTAGAGAGGATGACTTCTCTCTGATGGTTGCTTCCTCGGTGTTAAGTTGGCTCGACGTATCGCATGAAAGTGATGGTATACAAAAGCAATTAGTCTAATCTTATTATATTTATTAATCGGGACCCTGGAGTTCTTGGCCGGTACAGTCGGATATTATCTCACCCGAGGAACGGTACTGCGTCCCGTGATCAAGAGCACGCGAGTACTACATCGGGACTTTTGTGGCGTTAAAAATTAACGTCACAATATATATATAAGTAAAAAATAATGATAAATAAAAAAATTAAACTAAAATATGTAATATAATAAGCTGTTTATTGCCCTTTTATGCGGGGTACATCGCGGACTCCCGCTCCGCTCACGAACGTCACTTAATTCTATCGTTTCCCTATATCCCTACCCCTAATCTATACATATCACCACAGAGATACATAGAGATAGCCGTACTTCATTCGACCATACATCCATCCATCTAGCCCTGGACCTCCGTTTCCGCTGCAACAACACTACTACCCTTCCCATTCCTCCCCCTACTCCTCCCGACACCCTTTCCTCTCTCTCTCACTGCTCCTTCTTCCAATCGTTCCCCCAAATTTCCTCTCCACCTTTCTATTTCCTCCATCCACCTTTCCCACAAACCTTCACCTCCTAGCACCTCCTCCCTTGCCTCCTGCCAGCCTCTTTCCCTGCCCCATATGCTGTGCATACCTCCCATACGTGCTCCCAAGTTTCCTCCTTCACCCCGCACATCCTACACCTTCTTTTCTCCTCCTTCTCCCAGTACCTGGTCCCTCTCATCTCCTCAATCAGCCTGAACCTCGCCACTCTCTGCCAACTCCTTTCCACCCGCCCCCCCTTTCTTCAAATAGCCCGGCACCCCATTTCCTTTTATGAACTTGTACTCCTTATTTCCCTTCGCCTCTACCACCTTTTTCCACCTTTCCTCGTCCTGCTTTTTCCTTTCTATCCTAACCAGCTCCTCTCCTCTCATCTCCCCCTCCACCCACTTCCTCTCCACCTCCACCGCGTTTCACCCTCTTCCCTCATCAAATTTTCTTCTCTCATCTTCCCATCCTTCGCAGCCCCTACCTGCCCGTGCCCTCTTCCTTATCTCCTCTCTGCATCTCCTCGCTAGCTCTCGTCCTCCTCCCTTACCAAGCTGCTTTTCATAGCCCCATGCCCTCACCCCCGCTCCCCTTCCAACGCATCCCTCTGCAACTCCTCTCTTACTATGTAGCCTGGCACCCTTCTTGACACCCTTAGCACCCACCTCATGTACCTCTCATGCAGTCGTTCCACCGCCTCCCTCCCTTCCCATCCCCAGATCTCCACTCTATAGCTTACGACTGGCCACACCAGCTTATCGAACAGCCAGAACCATTTGCTCGAGACAATCCTAAACCTCCATTTGCCTATACTCCACACCAGTCCCATTGCTTTCGCCGCCTTTTTCACCCTTTCCTCCACTATGGTCTCCGTCCGCCCTCACCACGTACCCTAAATACTTATACCTCGTCACTTCCTCTATTTCTTTTCCCATCCACCACCACTTCGTTTTCTTTTTCATCCCTCTCCCTGCCCTACACCTCATCACTTTCGTTTTTCCCGTATTCACCTCCAACCCTTTTCCCTCAATATACCTTTCAAATTTCCCTATCATCCCCTTCATTTCCTCTTCCCCCCTCGCCAGCAAAACCAAGTCGTCCGCGTACGCTAACGAATATACCTTCCCGCCCCCGTGCAGCTCTACCCCTCCTCAACAACCCTTGGCCAGTTCCTCGTCCAAATCCGTCAACAACATAATAAACAACAAGGGGCTTAGCGGGCAGGGGTGCCCCTTTCACACCTTTCATTGTCCAAAACTTCTCCCCGTACTCCTCTCCCACCCTCACCCTTCCAACCGTCTCCTTTAATACCTCTTCACATCTTCCTACAAGTCCCTCTCTCGCCCCTCTATTCCTCATAGTCTACCCCAATTTCACCCTGTCCACCGAGTCGAACGCCGCCTTCATATCCACAAATAGTAGCACCAGATTACTATTTCTCTTCCTTATTTCCCTATTCACCAACCAATTTAATACATACACATTATCCATCGTTCCCATCCCTTCCGTAAATTCCGCTTGGCTCAGTGGTAGCATCCTTCCCTCCTCCACTTCCTTTTTCAATCTGTTACTCAACACCCCGGCGTACACCTTGTACAAAGTTTGCTTGAGCGTTACACCTCTATATTCCTCCACCGCCTCCCCATTTCCCTTCTTCACTACTGGCACCACTATCCCTTGCTTCCATCCTTCCGGCCATCCCTCTCCCTTTCGTATCTTCCAGCACATCTTCCATAAACTCTCCACAACATTTTCTCCTCCATATCTCCACACCTCACTTGGTGCTCCATCCTCGCCCGTCGCCTTCCCATCTTCCAATTCCCTCACCACCTTCCACACCTCCTGTATTGATAGCTCCTCCTTATCGTCATCCCACGTGTGCCTCTCTGTATTCCCCACTCGCCTCTCATCCACACCTCCTAGCCCCCTTTTAAAATGCTTGTCCCACACCTCCATTTTTATATTCTTGTTCGTCCCCTCCCTTCTTTTCCTCCCCCGGTTTATCACTACCCACGCTTAGCTTTCGGTCCGTATCCCATTTATCTCCATCTCCCACCTCCTAGCTTCTTCTTTTCTCTTTCCTTCACACATTCCTCTATACCTCCTCTTTTCTTCCTTGTCCCCTTTTCATTCTTTTCATCTCTCCTCCACTCTAGTAACTCCTTCTTGAGCCTCTCCTTTCCTTCTGTACATTCCTCGTCCCACCAACCCTTGCTCTGCACCCTTCTTTTCTCCTCCCCCGATTTCCTCACTGCTTTTCTTATCTGTCCTCCAAACTCTTTCCAACCATACACCACCTCTTCCTCCCCCCACCGCCAGTCCCCATACTCTTCCTTAAATTTACGCACTCCCTCCTCATTCCAGCACCCTTTCCCCACCCTCTCTCCCTTCCCCTCCCCTTCCTTCTTCCTGTGTCGCCCTCCTCTTCCCGCCTTCACCCCTAGCACCACCGGCATGTGATCCGAGTCCACTTTACATTCTAGTTCTAGCTTCTCTATTTTGTCCAGCGCCTTCTCCCCGACCACCACATAGTCAATCACTGATCTGCCCCTTCTCCCCATGTACGTCCATTCCCCTTCCTCATCCCCTTTTACTCCCCCGTTTAAGATCCCCCAACCTCTTTCCTTCAAGAACTGACACCATCTTACCCCCTCCTTCGTCACTACTCTATCCTTCGACTTCCTCTTGCAATCCTCCCTCCCGTCTTCCCCCAACAGCCACACCCCACCTTCCGACCCCGTTCTTACATTGAAGTCCCCCCCAATAACCACCCTCTCTTCCCTACCCTCCTCTTCCATCCACTTTGCCATCATATCCCTTTTCCTCTCCATATCCCCATTCACATACACCCCCACCACCCACCACCAGTAACTCCCCAACTTCACTTTCCATTCCATCCATCCTTCCTCACCTTTTTCAACCTTGCCTACATCTAATCCCTCCTTAACCCCCATTACAATCCCCCCCTTCGCTCTACCCCTCCTCTACTTCTTTTCGCATCCTGTACCTCCCACGTAAAGCCTCTTTTCCAGTGCTCTTTAATACCTTCCCACCCTTTCTCGTCCACCCACTTCTCCATTAATACCACCACTTCCCAACTTCTCAATCCCTCCCAAAACTCTTTATCCTTATTTTTTACTACCGCCACATTGCAAAAACCCGCCTTTAGCGTGTACTCTTTCCTTTTCCTTCTACTCCCCACTCCCCCTCTCCTTGTCCGGCACCCTCCTCGGTCTCCACCCGTCTATCTCCTTCTGCCTTTTTTTCCTATTCGTTTCCCTTCGTCCTTCTCCATCTATCCTCTACCTCGTCCCACACTTTCAACTCACTATCCACCCATATCTTCATACTATACCCCACCCTCACCCTCTTTCCTTTTCTTCTCTCCGCCTCCGCTTCTCTTTCTATCAGTCATTGTGCCCTTCGCTCCTTTTGTGTTAAGTCGTCCTCCAACCTCTCCTTTTCCCCTCTCAGCTTCACCTTTGCTTTCATCATCTCCATTTTCTTGTCTCTTCCTTCCAGCTCCACTAACACCATCCCTCTCCCTTCCCTGTTCACTCCACCAATTTCCTTCATCCCTTTTATCCCACCAACTACCCCTATCTTCATCCAAATCCTGTGTATTTCTCTCTCCCAGTTCGCCCCCCCCCTTTCCACTTCCTTCACCACCACGTTCTTCTTTCTCTTCTCTCTCTCATCTGTATCCATCCTTAGTTCCATTCCTCTTAACATCCTTTCCCCCTCCTCTACCTTTTCTTCTCCCCCCCCCCATTTCCTCTTCCCTCTTTTCCAACTCTACTATCCTATCAATCATCGCCTCCCTTTCCTCCTCTCACCTCTTTATCATCTCTTCCCTTTCCCTCCTCACCTCTCTCGTCATTTCCTCTATCCTTTTCTCCACTTTCTCCACTTTTTTCGTCACCACCCCCTCTAATTTCTTTTCTCCACCCTCTTTTCCAACTCTGCTATCCTGTCACTCCTCGCCTCCCTTTCCATCTCCCACCTCTTTCCCATCTCTTCCCTTTCCCTCTTCATTTCCCTCGCTATTTCCTCTATCTTTTTCTCCACTTTCCCCACTTCCTTCGTCACCACTCCCTCTAATTTCTTCCTCAGCAACCTCAACAATTCTTCTGTCCCCCTGTCCTCCCCCTTCTCCGGCGATCTTCCCACCAACTTACTCCTCTTAAACACATCATTCTCCTGCTCTACCTCCCCCCTTTCTTCCGTCTCTTCAAACTCTAATACTTTCCTCTTTCCCATCAGCAACTCCTCAATATTCCCCTCACTCCCTGCTCGCCCCCTCATCAGCCTCGCCTCATTTGTCGGTCTTCCCCTTCTGTTTTCCTCATAATCCTCTTTTCAACCATTCTCGTCCGCCATTCCCACTTAGTACTTAGTACCCTACCGGCCTCCACCGACCTTACCTTCCGCTGTTATCCCCCTCACTACCTTACCGGCCTTTTCCTACCTTACCTTAATCCTTTCCCTACTATACCTTCTTCTCCCGCGCCTGTCACTATCACCTAACCTCCAAAAATTCCCCGTCCCTACTGCCACCACCCTCACTTATTCCTTCACTCCCTTTACCCGCCTATTCTCTACCCCTCCACAACTCACCCTCCTGTATACTCACCCCCGCCTTCTCCCCCCTAACACCTCCACACACACTTCCAGCACCCTTTTCCTGTTCCTGGTCACGCACTCACTCTACACACCAGTCACCGGAAACGGAAGTCTCCAGTTAAACTAAAATAAAAAGTATTAATAATGGCGGTGATGTAACGTAGTGACTAGCTTAAAATTATTATTAATAATAACTATAGATATAGAAGTAATGTACATATATGATAAGTACAAAAATAATGATAAATAATGATCAATAAAAAAATTTACATATACAGGGTGTTCGTTACGAAACGCACTGTAGTAACATCGTTGCATTCCTTGTCAAATTCTAATGAATACGTATATTTTCATTTTCTATTTCATGTATCAAAATTTCGAGATAATCAGTGTTGAAGTTGCAGTAATGCGACCAATCAGAGCGCGTTTAAACGGAGCATAGATGACGTCGCAAGTCAGCCTGCAAGACCTGCTTACACTACGTCAATAACACTAACCAGGGAAGTATGTACACCAACTGGTGGTCACGAATTCGGATGAAAGTTATGAGGAATGTAATATAGCATCACGAGAGAAGGATGCTCAAGCCATGCAACCCAACGTTGAGTTATAAGCCGAAAAAAGCGATTTAAAATATGTGGCGTATCATGTGTACTAGTTCTGTTACGTTGAAATTTCAAGTGCGCCACAGCGCAAGGATAGAGTGCCAGACTACCACGCTGACGACACGCGTTCGATCCCTACCCGTAGACTATTGAATTTTTTTTTTCATTCATGCACGATATATAAATGTATTTGGAATATTATTATATCACGAATAATACAAATTAAATATAATTATAATATAACACACACGCACTCATGTGTATATAGGTATAATAATAATTTGTTCCAGAAAATGTATGGTCACAAAATAATTTGTCTTGAATATTACCATGAAAATAGTTCGGGTTACAGTAATATATTTTGCACCTTTTCTCGCCCTGCTAGTGACCTTGGCTATAGCACGCTTATACCTGATGTGAGCAGGGAGATCCCAACGACCCCAAAAATTCCGTTACGTACGGTCTGTTATATGCTACCTACAACTAGTTTGAACCAAACAGGCGACAGCGTCGATTGTCTCGTTGATGATATGTAAAATAATAATTATAAGTTATGAGATAATAAATGCTTTATACAAAATTTCGGTTTTTATTAATCATTTTGTGATCAATTATTTTTAACAAATATATACTATGACAAAGTATTTTATGTTGTGCATAAATGAAGAAAAAAATTTAATAGTCCACGGGCAGGGATCGAACGCGTGTCGTCAGCGTGGTCGTCTGGCACTCTATCCTTGCGCTGCGGCGCTACTTGAAATTTCAACGTAACACAACTAGTACACATGATACGCCACATATTTTAAATCGCTTTTTTCGGCTTATAACTCAACGTTGGGTCGTATGGCTTGAGCATCCCTCTCTCGTGATGCTATACTACATTCCTGATAACTTTCATCCGAATCCGTGACCCCCAGTTGGTGTACTTCCCTCGTAAGAGTATTGTCGTAGTGTCCCTGCTTACCTGCATGTAATTGAGTGAGATACAATCGCTCGCTGTAACGTCACTGAATTTCAGAAGGTACCCCTTATTCCTTATAATGTCTATTCCTTTATTGTGACAAGATAGTTGAACCAACGTATTACGTTTTGAGTGGTCCTGAAAAGGACCAATTTTGATCTACGCATGACCGAGCTTAGATCTGGACATGCTAATCTGCAACAATTACATACATTTTCTATGATAATGATTATTCTGAAACAGTAAATATTGTAGATTACGTAACATTGCTATCAGGATGTCACCGATTAGGATACCTAATTGCATATTCTTGCACTGCTTGTGTTTGGCTATCATTACATTGGGCTAACACCCAATACATGTTGCAATATTCTCTCACAGAATAATTACTCATAATGCGAACTGACTGTGCCCGCAATGTGAAGTGAAATAAGTTGTAATTTGAAAACAAGTCATTCGACCGTAGTAGACTCATTACTGTTTACAAATTATAATCTATTTCGCTTCATATTGCGGAGACAGTCAGTTCCATTTATGTTGTTTCGACTACAAGATCGCATTATGAGTGATTATTCTGTGAGATAATATTGCGTCATGTATTGGGTGTTAGCCCAATGTAATGGCAACCAAACACAAGCAGCTCAAGAATATGCAATTAGGTATCCTAATCGGCGGCATCCTGATAAAAATGTCATTCAACGTCTCAGGATCCGATTGGAGGAGACTGGATCGGTTTTATCCTTTCATGAACGTACAGGGCGTCTACAAAATGCAACAACCTCAATTGCTGAGGATTGTATCTTACAACGAGTGGAGGATAACCCTCAAGTAAGTATCCGGGAACTTAGTCGACAAAAAGGTTAAGTACGCATAAAATAGCCGTATACCTACTTCGTGTTTGAAGTCGCATATGAAATGTTATTTGCACGTGATTCGTTACAGCCCAGGAATAAGCAGAGTGCATCGCTTATTGCACAATTACGATATGCACCCATACCATTATACAAGGCTGCAGGAATTGAGGCCTGAAGATTATGGGCGCCGTTACCAATTCTGTCAATGGCTGCTCAATAGAACAGAAAGCGACCCAGAATTTGTAAGCAAAATTCTATGGATGGACGAGTCTTCATTTTCTCGTGAAGGAGTTTTCAATTTCCACAATCATCACATGTAGAATTATGAAAACCCCCATGTCACTCGTGATCGCGTTGGCCAAGTTCGCTGGTGTATCAATGTATGGGCTGGAATTGTCGGCAAAAAAGTTTTCGGTCCTTATATCTTGCCAGCAACTCTAAATGGATCCCGATATACAATTTTCCTTTCGGAGGTGCTCCCTGAGTTACTAGAAAACATACCACTTGACGTCCGCCGTACAATGTGGTTGCAACATGATGGCGCGCCTGCACACTACGCACGACCGGTTCGCGCGATATTAGATATCATGTTGGAAAATAAGTGGATTGGTAGAGGTGGTCCGGTGCCATGGCATCCACGATCCCCAGATTTAAATCCGCTAGATTTATTTTTTTGGGGATATTTAAAAGTAAGTTGAGTACTATTTGCCATTAACATAATTTACACTAACAATGTTACCTTAGGATCTCGTTTATCGAGTCAGGCCAAAAAGTCAAGAACATTTAGCGGCTTGACTGTCAGCAAGCATCGCCACAATGAATGAAACGATGCTGACGAATGCCCAAGCTAACTTACTTAAACGTTCAAGAGCATGTTTAAATGTGAATAGGGGCCATTTTGAACATCTGTTATAATTTATTCAAAGGTTGTACATATTCTACAATATTTACTGTTTCAGAATAATCATTATCATAGAAAATGTATGTGATTGTTGCAGATTAGCATCTCTAGATCCAAGCTCGGTCAACCGTAGATTGAAATCGGTCCTTTTCAGGACCACTCAAAACGTAATACGTTGGTACAACTATCTTGTCACATTAAAAGAATAGACATTATAAGGAATAAGGGGTACTTTCTGAAATTCAGTGACGTTACAGCGAGCGATTGTATCTCACTCAATTACATGCAGATAAACAGGGACACTACGACAATACTCCTAGTGTTATTGGCCTAGTGTAAGCAGTCTTGCAGGCTGACTCGCGACGTCATCTACGCTCCGTTTAAGCGCGCTCTGATTAGTCGCATTACTGCAACTTCAACCTTGATTATCTCGAAATTTTGATATATGAAATAAAAAATGAAAATATACGTATTCATTAGAAATTGACAAGGAATACAACGATGTTACTACATTGCGTTTCATAACGAACACTCTGTATATACATATTTTACGCTTTATAACTGGGGCGGGCGAGGAACCTCTGCAGCCCCCTACCTCAATATTTGCTCCCTATTATCGCAGAAGTAGGCTATACAGGCTATGCAGTCAGCGGGTGCATCACACACCGAGCACAGCGTACACATATTCCCACACGCAGGGCTATTGCGGGGTCAATCTGCAGGTAGTGCATTACATGCACTGTGTACCCTGCTCTGTCCTCGGCAGTCTGCGCGCACATGCACCCGTAGCACAGTTCCTCCTCCACGCCCCGCACATATAAGCACTCGAAAAAACACCGCCCTTCGTGGAAAGGGGCGAAGAAATCGTTGAAGGGCGGCGGTATACCGTCTAGCAACGGCCCCTCAAACGGTCCCTCCACCCCCTCGGGCGGTGTATCAGGCCTCCTTGGTGCCATAATCTGTAAAATTTCAATTTTTTTTTAGTAAATCTGTTTAAATCAAATAAAAACCGGTGCAGACTTAAAATTATTACCCTTACCGCTCTAGTAATATGCGACGCTAGTTTAATGCCTGATGGTGGTGCTACCGTGCGCGTCGTCCTATTTTGCAGCGTCTAGAAATAAGGGTAAAAGGTGACAGATATACAAAAACATTTTTAAACTCAAATAATATACTAAATAAATATATACGCTGTTATACGTACCATTCTTTTTTATACCCTGTAAGATATTGTGGTGCTAGATAGGCGACAGGATGACGGATCGTCTAGAAATAAAGGAAAAGATGTGAGACATACAAAAACTTTTTTTTAAATCAAATATTATACTAAATAAATATATACGCTATTATACATATCACTTTTTAAAAATACGCTCTGAGTATGCGCTCCCAACTCTTTTCACTTCACTATCACTATCACTTCTTTTTTTATTGTCGCTTCTATTGCTTGTCACCAAGGTAATGACAGGATGCTGCGAGGACGGCTCACAGGTAACCATCTATTTCCCCACCATAGCTCTGATTTTTTGCATAGTTGCAAATAAGAGATACATGTAGCAGTTTACGCTGCTAAGACAATGGTACCCCCACGCCTGATGTATTTGGCGCATCGTTCGCTAGATGATCCAAAAGAAGGGTACCATCATTCCAACAGTTACGTGGTATGTGGAGGATTGACCCCGAGCAAAATATTAGTGGGTTGGATATCCAACCATCGATAGCTAAAAGTATCCAAAAAGTATCGTCAATAGGCGCGATACTTGTATAATATAAGGTATTTCTTACAAAAAAAGTAACGAGAAAAGTAGTCGGAAACTTCAGTTTATTAAAAATTCACGCAACAAAAACGCCTGATGTTAAAATAGCCGATCTAACTAAATATGGCATCCAATTAAACGAAATAATAAGAGAAGCAATAGAAATAGAAAATCATCAGAGAACAAAAACATTTTATGAGGAAGCAATAAGTTAGATCACGTATGCCATTTATATCTTGGCCGGATTAATAATATTGTACTTAATGAATAAGTTTAAAATATTTTATCTTCTTAAATACTTGACGTTAGGGGCATTCAAGTCCTGCACTTCTGTTTATAATCATTGTCTCTTTAATTATGGCAATAATGCTCGAAATCAAAACTCCTGTGCGACAGAAATGCCCATGGAGACATTGACCCATGTCAATTCCAGTCCCATTTCATAAAATTTAGATGTGTCTCCAATCTTTCAAAGAAAAACTGTAAGCCTCAGACAGTCAGAGCCAAAAAGAAAGGTTCCTCGATCTAGGTCTAGACTTCGCATATCAGAATTCGACAATGATATGTAATATACTTTAAGTTCTCTGAAAATCCTTCTTGTAAATTTTCTAAAAAGGGAATTTTCATCTAACAGCGGGGGTGTTATACCCTAAGCGTTACTTAGTTGTTTACTAGGTTAGCATTCTTAGTACCACACGGTAAGTAACCCTTTGTCAGCAAAATTGTACTAAGGCGTAGAAGCTCTTCATTATTTAGACGCAACAAAAAGTCAGTCGTCGAACTGTAGGCTCCGAGTGAGCATCGTCCGCTCATAAAAGCAAAATAGAATAAAATTGTGCCATTGTTAACGAAACAGAGATACAATAAAAATAGTTTGTTTTTGCTATTTTATTATTATTAAAAGTGTTGAAGATTATTTTATAACATCCTCACGGCATAACAATAAATATACATAATATACCACGTAACTTTTAATTTAATATGTCGTATCATTGGTTGGTACATTATGTTGTAAACCATAATATAGATTTGGAAACTCGCCTACGTCAGAAGCGACGGAATGGCCACGCTGCGACGCGGCACATTCTACTCGCCAATATTATGGAAACAAAGACACATCCCCGACACCATGGCGAAATATAGAAACAATCCCTTGGTCATTGCATCTCTAAAAATTCCATAATTAAGATATAAAAAGCGGACGGCCTGTCGGCACGTCAGACGAAGTAAGAGAGCTACGAGTGAAGTGTTACTACGGTAACTTAGTCGAAGTACTAACCTCCAGCCTCGTGATTTCGTACTTACCACGTTTACGGTTTATTTCTAATAGTGTACTCTAACGTAACTTATTTTGTTTCAAATAAATCTTTTACTTGTTATCGAGAGTTAAGTTCCAACTTTTTACTCGGAAAACGAATCCCAAAGTACCTGACTCCCGAAAACCCTTTCCGGCAGTCAAATCCGTGAATCCAGTATTTGGGCTCACAACAATTGTAATCCGGTCCAGGTTGGTGATCACCCATGGCTGTCGATGAGTCTTGGTGCGAGCGTGGGTTAAGGATATGAATAAAGAAAAGCTCTTGTCGTCGTTCGTTCCTTTATTTACCCCGTCGGCAGAACACAAAACTCTATTATTCGGATCACGACCGGTAGCACTCACAGGTTCGAGACTTACTGACTTCCCCGCGTCTCGACCCTGGTAAGGTGGAAACCTTCCCCGAACCACCCACGGGGTGGGGGACACCTTGACCATCAGTCACCACTCAAAACAAACAGCTTAATCTAAACAACTAAAAAAAATCAAAACAGGACTGCTAGGCCCTCTGTCGATGATGCTCGGTTGCGCGCCGACAAATATATATTAATTAAATTATAAATAGACTACTCGACATTCATGTACAAGTATCTTGCAAACCACTTTGTAGAGATGTACCTTTGTTATCAGCAAACAACAAAAGTAGTTTACTCTTCATTATTAGATGAAAAGAGTTTTACATTTTCAGCGTTCCAATGCAATAGAGCTTCCTGGCACATCACACTCCATATGTATGGTATAAAGAATTCTTCTGGCTGCTCCTCTTCAACATATTTGAATTTCAGCTCCGGAAATTTCTAAGAAAAAAGAAATGTTGTAACATTATTCTTAATTAACGTATAGTTTCTAAAAGTAATAGTAAGATAAAAATTTCTTGATATCAGTACACTGAATCAGTTACGTAATTATTCACAGTACTAATATTACACAGTAGTAGTTCCTGGCGGTAACGTTCAGTACCTGAGCGTGTGTTGTGTATTTTTGTGTGAGACTATTCACATAAGTTTTTAATTCGAAATTTAATGATCAAGATTCTACTTATATAGGGTGACAAATAGGAAGTTTCCTAAATTAAACTATTATTATTTTTTAATAAATGTAGAAACAGAAAATAAAACGCAGTCATGAATACAATAAACTCGTCAATTTTATTTGCAACTTAAATCGAACATTTTTATTACAGTTAAATCATTCATTTTTAGGTGAAAATAATTTGTTTTTAAAGTTGAAAAAAATTAAACAATGGCAAATTATTAATGATAAAGTTTTTGAAGGTGTTTTTCATCCGAATTGACACAATAGTGAAGCCGTTTCTGGAAACTATGGAAACCTCTTCGATCTTATTGTGAAAAACGCTTAAAGCACCTTTTCTGATGGCTTGTATCAAGCATATTTTGTCTTTAGCTTGTTTGCGTGACAATAGTCTTTAAGATAGCCCCACAAGAAGAAATCCAAATTTAAGACGATGCACAAAGTTTATGAGGACCGCATCATCGGTTTAGAGTTTTTTCGCTTCACCCATGCAGGTATCGAATGGTCGTTATATTCAATAGACTTAGAACCTTATGACTTTTTCTCTCATTCTCACGATGACTAATGAGACGCAAATATCGCATCTGTCAGTGACGAGTTATTTTTAATGAATTTCGTTCTCAAAAGTTATATATTTCTATATAAACGTGGTAGAATACGTTTAAAGGTAGGTATCCCTGAAGTGAAAATTTTAAAATGCAGTGTTACAGTATTTGGCATTTTAAATTACAAAATTTGATGTTCAAATACTTGAGATATAAGAGTTTGCAAGATTGCGAACGTACAAAGAATCCCGCCAAAAGGATCGCAGAAAACGAAGGGGTAGTTTTTGTAAGGCATACAACCGAACGTTATTCAAACGATTAAGTTTATCAATTCATATATAAAAAGATATTTGTAATAGCTGAAAAGGAAAATTCAAGCAACATGATGCCACTTTAATGAGAAATTAATTACACTTGTCTAGGAGTGGTTCATTCTTTAAAGGAGGTTTTTTTGAAAAACGCAGACATTTATCAGTAGTTATAAGCCACTCCTGGTCATCACAACAAACCCCCACCACTATCCCCTAAGAGTCATGGAGCGCACCGCGTTCTGTCCTTCTCCACACCGCACTACGACGTCACCCCCTCGCCCATGTGGTGACTCCCCACCATGCGGACCTGGTCCTAAGTCCCGAAACCACCCAGTACCAACAGTGTTGCATGTCCCCACGGGCCTGTCACGGTCGGTAATTATACAATGACCTCTCGGTCGGTATCATTTTTTTAATTATCATAAGAAGGTAAGTGTAGCCGGAGTAAGAAAGTACCCGGTGCTTTGTAAGAAACATTATGTATTATAACGTGGCGTCCGTGGGACGGCCAGTTACATAAAAGCGTAGGCGCACGGAGAGCCGTGCCGCCGACGAAAGCCGCCGAGAGAATGCCGACGACGCCAAAGGTTCGTGGCGAGAGGAAGCCGGGGAGAAAAACCGGCAGCGCCGAGCCGACGATCGGGAGCGCTCGCGTAAGATCGGCGCCGCCCAGAGACTGGCGGGCTGTGAGCGCCGAAGAACGGATAACGGACCGAGGCGAGAGATAGCGCACGAGTTCGGGTGAACTCGGGATTCTTCGGGAATCCTCGGGCCGGTGGGCCAAAAGGGGGCCACTTCGTTTAGAACCGTGAGCCGAGTGTGAGCGAGTTTTCGAAAAGTGGTGTGCGAGTTTTGGATTTTTGTTTGTGAGAGAGTGATTTTGGACAGATATCGAGATTAGACGACTTGGCATTTTCCCCGGACTTTGATTTTTTGGACTGTGGCAAGGCGGCGAGAGCGAGCAGACCGAGAGAGAGCGAGAGAAAACGAGCCGAAAAGAGAAAAAGCCAGGGACCACCAGGAAGGAATCCGTGTGCACCGGAAGTTCTGGTAAGTCTCATCTGATTACCATTTTTCGAGCGAAGCCGCGCGCCGGCCGGGGTGAAGCGCATCCGCCGGTACAGCGAGGCACGCGGAGTGGGGACTACGGGCCCGCTACCGACTCACATGCGAGAAGATTGCAGCCGCCCGTGAAAAGAGAAGACGACTGCCGCGACCGCGTACCTTAATAGGATTGTATCGAGTTGCGTTCGTAAGACCACCCGACTGTAATCGTTTACCTAGAACGAAATAAATGTAGATTATTGGAATGAAATCCCACCGTGTCGATTATTTCGGAGAGGCCGACCGATTCCTGTGTAAACTCGCCGCCCTCACGTTCCCCTCTACCAACGCGAAGGAGAGCTAGTGGGAAGATCCGGTCGAGAGGACTCCAGGAAGTGACGCGCCGCGGATTAAAAATTAAAGGCCCGACGAGTCGGGCTGGTGCAAGGATGCACCTGGCGGCCAAGGGATCCGCGGAATGCCACGTTGGGGTCGCGGATAGAACGTAGGTCAGGAAATACGTTACAGTATATTATAAAGCTGTAGCGTGTGACACATTTTCGATTATTAGCGCATTGTTGACACGAATATCTCCATAGTGCTCCGCACGAAGGAGAGGTACTCGTGATTACACAGGGAGAGCACCTCCACCAATAATTGATATAGTGCCGGTGACCACAGGCCTTTCTTCTCTAGAATCAGCTGAAGATCGTCCAATATGTTGTCCCTGGAAGTGCCATCTCCGCGGCGGTCGAGTTCCGCAATTAGCGTGTCTTTACAGTTGTTAGCACTGTCGGTGATCTCGCGTAGCTTGGTTATTTGGGCGGTCACGCAGCGGAAGACCCTCTGGAGATTGAGGTAGAACACCCTATTCATCACGACCCCGGGTGTGTACGCCCTAGCTCCTTTAACACCCGAGCCGTCTTTGTACGTAGACACCGGCATTGCCGGTTTAAAAATAATAGCCCGCTCACCGTATGAGTGCGTGAAGACTAGCTCATGAGTGGCCATGAGAATAGGAGTGTTAAAAGCCTCGGGTACCTCCTTGATGTTATCCTTTGCGGTAAAGAATTTGTGGATGACGGGGAGGTGGTCGGTGATGATGGCTCAGTCGGTAGGGTCAAACTCCACTCCAGAATAATCTTGATTAACGATGCGAATTACAGGTGATAAGCTTCCCGAACGATTTAAAGAGAAACCGGTGATTACTTGTTTCGAAAACGATCGGTTTAGATCGAACACAGTGGACGGCAGTACTTGCTTCTTGTACATGATTATAGTAAATGCTATTATGCGATCGGTGCGATGGTCTGAGCAGTACTGTCTAATGCGATATCTAAAAGACAGGTCATCGAAATATCATCAAAAATGCCCCCCCACCATCGCAGCCGCACCCCGTTTTTATAGGATACAGCGAACAAAGAGACTATGGCCAGGATTGAGTATACTGCTGATACCGCAGAATGCATCAGAGAACATCTACATCAGCGTTAAGACGATTCTGTAAAAAACAAAACACGCGGTTGGGGCACGCGCGAGCATTCATCGATGTACAGTCTAAGAAAAGCAGTAGAATCCTTACAACGATACACTGAAAAATTTATTGAAAGACATCGAAAAAGAAGTGATGGCACACTACGATGACAACGATTTTTTAGGCATAGACGTATGCAGTGGGCGAAGACATGGGAAAACGGTGATTTCGTCAAGACACGCGGCTTGAATACCCTTAGAAACCCGAGATTATTCTCACCGGTGTGGTGTCGCGAGTTAAGATATTTCGGTTTTCGCACGTTAACGCGTAGATTAAAAAGTGTGTTTTCCCATTGTATTCTGCGCGTGCTAGCCAGGGGTCATGAAAGAGAATATTTCAAGAACGATCCGTACACTGCAGGACAGTAATGCTCGCCCATAAGACCCTCTCACTCCAAACATTAGGCTCTCTTATTATAATCCAAAGTCACCTTCAAATTATTCTATGCACACTTTTGTGTAATGTGACATACAGTATCTTGACAAATAGTCTCATTCTTAGCAGAGACGTTGGTAAGTTGACATCAAAATGGCACCGAATATTTGTGTAGAGCAACGCGGGCGCATCGTTGGTTTGTAGCAGGGTGGGATACCCTTTGATGAGATAGCGAAGATTATCGGATGCAGTGTAAAAACTGTACGCCGATGGATCAACGCATATCAAGTCGGAGGTGATCATGCTCTCCACGACCATCGTGCACAGAATCGGCGGCCGCGAATTACAAATAGCGAACAGGACCGCCTCGTAATCAATGCAATTGATCGCGATCCATTCGCGGCCATCGCGCAAGTTGCCGCGAGGGAGGGATTTCCGGGTTCTGCCAGGACCGCGCGTCGTCAATTACAGGAGGCCAATTATGGTTGTTTTCGGCCTGCCCGAAAGATCTTGATGTTCCCGCAACATCGAAGAGCTCGCGTTGCTTTTGCGGAGCAACAATTGCAGACGCCACGTGAGACCTGGGAGGTTACGATTTGGACAGACGAGAAAGTCTTCCAATCGTCAACTGACCGGCGTCTTCACGTGTGGCGGCCAGTGGGTGTCCGACTTGATCCGAGATACGTCGTCCCTGCAGATCGTAGCGGGCGTATTTCGTATGGATTGTGGGGTTGGACAAGCGGACAGACTCTGGGCGAATTAGTGGAGATATCTCCACACATGGATTCTGCAGAATATATTCGCGTACTGGAGGAAGTTATGCTTCCAACAGTTCGCGCGGTGTATCCGGCAGATGACATGCCAATAATTCGTCTTATTCAAGATAACTCCGCTGTCCACACTTCTCGTGAAACGCGAAATTGGTTTTCGAATCATCCGGACATCCAAGTGGTG